GGCCTGGATTTTGCGGGCTTTTTAGCAAATTTTTTATTTCTACCACAATTTTCATATTTCTCCCGCAATTTTTATATTTCTCCCGCAATTTGAAAATTTTGACCTGGCAACCCTGTGTATGAATCAATCTTATATAATATTTTTAATTAAATTTTAAATGATGTTGAGAATTGAATTAACCTTACCTTGGATAATAAACCTCATGAGATAGTACATCATAAACAGATTTTATTTTAGATTGATCCTTGATTATTTCTTATATGTAAAAAAATAGATTTTATAAAATACAAGCAGCAAGACAAAGTCATGCACCCAAACCAGATTCGATCGATTTTTAAAAACGACCTTATAACGATTTTAGCCAAAATAATAAAATTTGCTCTATTTCATTTAAAATTATAATAGATAACCCCACAATAAATTTGCCCTAAAAAACGCTCCTACCCCCTTCCTCCCTCAAAGAAAATTAAATGCAAACTGTGCCTACCCCTTCTCTTCCACTTATATAGATACTGTGGATTCCTCTTGGCGAAGAGAGCAATAATTAAATGCAATCCAGAGTTTTGTTGTAGTAAAAAAATTTAATTTGGTAAAAATGAACATAAAACTTCGAACCTAAGTAGTTAAATTTTTTAAAAGATTATATATATACTTCTCAGTTTTCTTCTTGATTTAATTTATTAATTTTAATGGTAGCAAGTCTTTGGCGTAAGAAGAGGGATTCCTTATGCTGATCGGTTTTTTCGCGAATCCGTTTGCCTAATTCTTTGAAAAATCGTTGAGCTTTGCTACCGAAGGTGGTGAGAATGGAACAGGCGATGGGTATATATAAGAAAGAAGGGTCTAAGGAATTGTACTTTATGGTTTTTCAAGATTCTGCGAGGGCGAGGGCATCGACATTATGGTTAGATGGTGCATTTTGGTCAATGCAGGTGAAGTCCCAAACCAGGAGCTGACTCCAGTTTTTTCTAATCTGGATGGAATGTCTCCTGATTTGAGAGCGCGTAGTATGATGTCGTTGCATTTGGTGTGCCGTGAAAAACGGCCATAACAAAAGCGACAATGGAGACAATGTCTACCCTTGATGTCTACACTGGTTTAGCAATGTGTGCATTGGTAGGGAAGAACAATTTCGCAATTGAGCCTTAGTCCAATAGCAGATCTTAGCTCATCAGCGGAGAGCAACAAATCAAGGTTGTTGGAGGGTATTCCAGAAACTCGCAACGGGATCTTTGCTTCAATTGGTGAAAAACTGTGAGATCGTCGTCGTGAAGGCTCGATTTTAGGTAAGCCACGGAGCCTTCGTTGAGTGGAATATCCCAGTCTCTCTGTGACGTGAGGCGATTAAACCACTGATAGAAAGAGTTAGAGGTGAGCGTAAGCCGATACCTCCGAGCTTGCATAGAAGTGATGCTTGTAACCATGAATTATGGTTAAAGCGGAGATTAAGTATCTCTTCGGCGAGAGATTTGACGGAAATTTCAAAAGATTTTAATGAGTCGGGGAATTTGAAAATTGAGGTGGATTTAAGGGCATAGAGAATTTTAGGATTGTAATAAAAGTTTTTGAGGAGAAAAAAAGCTTGATGAGGAGGGAGAAACTTAAAGATGTTTTTGAAATGAAGTAAGCTGGAAGATGCGTTAGTGAAGAAGTGATTGATGGATGACCACCAACTGGAGAGCTGAGATGACTGAGGGATAAGAGTTCGGTTGTATGGAAGTTGTGGGGGAATGGGATGGAGCAATGAAATATGCAGATCTCGGTTTTTTGTTCGTTGAGTGAGAGTCCGATAGCATGGGAACGTGTTTTGATGATGGCGAATGCCTTAGCAACCTCACTAGGGGGACCGCAGAGTATTCCGTCGTCAATGTACCAAGTATGCAGTAAAAGATTGCAGTTGAAAGAAATGTTTTTGACCATTTCGTTGATTCCAATGCAGAAATGTATTGAACCCAGAGGATCGCCTTGTTGGATCCCTTCTGATGATGAAAGTAAATAGTTCTTGAATTGAAGATAGGATGGCATGAAATAATTGAGAAAAGGTGGGGAATGAGTGGTACATTTGTGGAAGAAAGTGAGAGCGGCGAATGGAGAAAAAATTTTAACGAGGATTTCGTTACTTGGGTTAGTTTGGAGATGGATACGAGTAGCATGTGTGGCTATTTCGCAGCCACCTTTGATGCCGATACCTAGTTTGTCAGGTGCTAAAATTAAGACTGCGTTGTCCTTAGATATTAGTACGGTCCCGATTGTTATTGGGCGGATATCCTTATTGGGTTTTTCGAGTGAGATTAGTTTAGCACCAAATATGAGTGGTCTGATGGACTCAGGAACGAGTCCCTGTGCTATTTTATTACAAAATGTTGTTAAATTTTGTAAAATTGGGACCTGGCTAACTATGAGGGGGGATGTATGATCCTGGAGGAAGATGGGACGAAGCCAATCGTAACTGGGAGAAGAGTCATGATGGAAGGATAGAATAGATTTACGCACCTCGGCGGGGGTGAAATCAGTAGGAAAAATATTGGGAGGAGGGGGAGGTATGAAATCAACTCCGGAGGGGTGCTTTAATTTGAGTTTGTTGAAACTTTCTTCGTTTCTAGTAGCAAATGAATCATTAGATGCTAGTAATAATCGAAGAGCGGATTATATGTTTAGGTTGTTAATTTTGTTGGAAATTAACTTTGCCTTTAATTGTAGGCTGGAAAGTTTTTGGGGTTCATGAGAAGATATTGTGGTTGTGAGGGTGAGGGGATATATAGTTGCGTCTTTGATTTGTTGGATTAAAGATTTCCGAATCTCTGGATTGGGAGGTTGGAGAGTCGTCAAGGAAAATGTGATAAGTTTGAGCCAATGATCGAGAGAGGAGAAGATATTTAATAATGATTGAAGGCAGGTGGAGAGGACTTTGGCTACTTGTACTCTCGAACCTTTAGGAATTCTAGAGATAATGGGAGGTTTGTCGGATTTTAGGAAGTTGATGATGTCGCCATGAGTGAAAGGTTGGAGGAGAATAAATGTGTCTAATATGGTTGGTAGTGTTGTTAAACGGCTCGTTTTGAACCGATTTTTAAAAACGGCTAACTCAATATTTTAGCTAGAAAAATATTGCCTAGGCTCAAGATTTCGAAAATATATGTCTAGACATTTGTTCCTTCTATGAGAAAAATCTTCAGGCTTGGGTAATATTTTTCTGGATGAGGTATTGAGTTAGCCATTTTAAAAAATCGGCTCAAAACGAGCCGTTTAACAACACTAATGGTTGGTATGTAGGCGTTATTGGATGAGGTGGAAGAATGGCTGTGAGTAGAAAAAATGGAAAGGGGATTTAGGAAGGGAAGAGAAGGACGCTTTTTGGACTCAGAACAAACGATACCATTAGTTTAGTGTTTGGTAAAGAGGCCGGGTTTGGTAATTTTTATGGTTTTAGAGCATACGGGACAGTGTACCATTATGTGGATAAGGAGAGGTTGTGAATTGAGTGAAAAAACTTATGAAAGAGGGAAGAAGTGTCAAAATAATTGTATAGTGAATGGGGATGTGACAGAGAGTAAGAAGAAATAATCTACAGAGAATAATGATCTTGTAAAGATAAGGTTTATTAATATAAAAAGGGGAATGAGCATAAAGATTGTTGGGGTTAGTTGGTTTTTGATAGAGGTTGATTATTTGTTTTAATAAATGTAATGGTTAGAGAAAATAAAAAATTAAAAAACTGAGGAATATATATGAAAGGGGAAAAAAAAATTATTTTTGAGAATGTTTATGAAAGGGGGGGAAAAAATACCTTTTGAGTATGTTTTCAGGTGTGGAAAAAAATAAGGGATGTATAAGAAATATTGAGCAATATAATTGTTGTATTTGATGTTGAATGGAGATGTGATAGAACAGGAAAAAAAGTTATAAAAGGTAGTGGACTTAAAGAATGTTGGAGTTGGTAGGTTGTGTTTAAGGTTGAGTTATAATTATAATCATAATGAAATATAATGGTAAAAAAAAGAAAAAGAGTTGTAGTATATGAAGGGAATTTTTTTTAACAACCTACCGATTGGGAGAGCATTGTTCCACAGGAAAATCTCCTGCTAAAATTATGTTTGGGAGGCAATTGAAAACAAGTCTGGATTGGATCCGACCAAATGCCAAACACGAAATAGTAAAGGTAGACAAAGCCTTCATCATGATTTACATTCAAAGGAAAGAGAATTTAAAATCTCACAAATAATGAAAATACCAATGTTTGGAGAGAGGGAGTAATTAAAGAAAGAATAGGACTTTATTCTTATATTGTTGAATCTTCCGGGAAAACATTATGGAAGCATGCAGATCAGTTAAGAAATCGTTTAGTTATCCCAAATCATGAAAGTTCTTTGGAAGTTACAGAAATGGTTGTGCCAGTAAATGAAGCAAATACAAACACAAATGCAAATACCACATTACGTTGTTCATCAAGAAACCGTAAACCTACAAAGAGGTTTATTGAAGAAATCTAACTTTAAAATGTTTGAAGGAAATGTAATAAATTAATAAAATATTATTTATAGATATTTTATATAAAAATAGAATAGAATATTCGAAAATTAATTAATATAAATTTGATGTTTGAAATAAATTGAAATATAAATTAGTAGTCGTATTGTTTATAAATTAGTAGTTGTATTACTACAAGAGGGAGTACAGGGATAAATTTAAAATAAGGTTGCTAGAAAAATTTATCCACAAGGCCGAAGAAATTTCAGTCCACTCCACGGACTCTGCCCCCCCCCCCCTTGACGTTACCTGCTCGTTGGATTGTTGTTTCAATATTTTAACATATTTTAAAATAAGTTCTACAAATAAATCAAAAATTAAATTACTAAATACGAATATGATTTGATTGAAAAAGTTTACAAAATAAATTTCACCACAATATATACACGATTAAATATAATAATTGATGAAATTGCCATATTCTCAACAAAAAAATCGATAAAATATATATTCATTTGTTTTTCTTTATTTTGTCAGCGAACTAATTTCGTATCGAAAGTTATACCTAAAAATTTCCTAAAAAACATGCCTAGATCTCGAAGCAGAAATGGAAGTCCTAATAAATCTTCTAAAAAAAAGAGTAGACATAGAAGTAGATCAAAATCACGTAACAGACTTGATATCAATGTTAGGACATCTAAATATACTACACCACAATCTGAAAACAGGATATCTAAACATAGAGATAGGTTAATTATTTATTTTTATACTAAAAATGAAGTATTGTATAGAAAAAGAAATGGTTCACATACTAGCTCAGGTGGGTCCAAGTCGCCAGGTCGTCATATTGACAAACGTTTATATGACTCACTGAAAAAATTAAAAAAAATAGATGAGGAAGAAAGAAAGGTTGAAATGGAAAAATTTAGATTATTGTAAGTTAATCATACACTCACCTTTACACTGTTATTTCCTATAATGTACAATGTACACAGAGTTGGGCAGGTCCTCCAGAAAAAGAATCTAGATACAGATTCTTTTTAAAAAAATGAATCTTAGATACAGATACTAGTATCTTTTTCAAAATATCAAAAAGATAAAAGATACTTGTATCTTTTACTAAATTAGAGTATCTTAAATACAAGATACTTTTAAATTATCATTACCAATTAAATTAGAATAGTTTATAAAATACAGTTTTTATTATTTATTTGTGAAGAACATAGCATACACATATAAGAATGAATATTTGCAATAATAAAATATTTATTGTTGAATTAATTATAATAACCAGGTACTAATAATATTAATTTTTGCCCATTTATAGCTTAAACAGGGAAGTGAGAGTAGTATATTTAATGGGAGTTAAAAAAGTGCAAATAAGAAAAAAAATTAAATCAAATGATTTATTAGAATTTGCAGGTTATTTTCTGTGTTTTAAATATAGCTTATATTCGGAGTATATGGATAAATGGCATCTCTAAAAAATATATACTAGTTTTATTTTATTCATTATCTTTAATAAGTATTTATCATTACTTGTTTGTGATATTTATGTATTTTTTATTTATTTTCTAATATGACTTATTAATTCTTGCATTTGTAATATCATATATAGTATATAAATATCATTTAAATTTTTTTTCATATTTTTTTTATATATTTCTTGCAAAATTATTAAATTATATATAAAAAATATGAAAATAATGTACAACATTATATTATTTAATTGTTAATTACATAGCAATTTTCTTTAATGCATTTTAAATTAATTAAATTTTGTAAAAAATACTGAAATGTAATTTTATTTATATCATAAATAAATAAAAGTAACTAATAAAGTTAAATTCTACCTTATTAAAATTATTTTATTAAGAGCCTTTTAAAATTATCTAATATTATATATCAATTGTCGCTTAAATATTTCCTTTAATAAGAACTTGCTAAAATAATTAAATATAAAATACATTAGGGATGTGCCGATATTTTTTCTCGGATCGGATTGGGCCGATATTTCACCCATTTTAAAATATTGGTTATAGGTCAATATTATAAAATTTGATCCGATATAAAAATGGCTTCTTTAACAAAAATAAAATGTTATAAAATGAAAAAAAATAGTTATATCTAAAATTATTTATTTTTATAAATAAAATCGAAATCCATTTTTATGTATATTTTTTTAGTAATAATAATTAATTAATAAACATTCTATCATATTGTTATTTTTTTGCGCATTCTGTTTATAAAAGTGTGCGATAATCACTACAGATTCTGTTTTTAGTGAAGCTGGTGATATTGACAGTTACTATCGCCGCAAGCTGACCTCTGATAAATCGGAAATATAAGAAATCTTCCCTATATTAATGTTAAATATTATTTTAAATATTTAAAACCATTGTTATCTTTACAGAATACAAAATTAGATATGATATCGGGTAATCGGCCAATATCAATTTAATATCCGGAATATCGGATTGGATCAATCTCTAAAAACTAGTATCGGTATACCCCTAAAAAAAATATATCCAAAATGATTTTAATTTGATAATCAACTATCTTATATAAAAAATTTTAATAACAATTATCTAAGAAGGACTTAAGTATTATAGGTATTATTATGTTAATAATTATAAAATAAAAATGTATATTATACTTTAATATGTTTAACAAGGTTTGTGAGGAGTATGTTCAATAACTTTTTTACTTGTGTATTTTTGACATTCGGCTTGCACCCTGTCCTTTTTCACATGAATTACTATATAAAATTTTCCATCTAGAATTTCAAGATTAAGATTTGACTCAGGAGAACCTATCTCCATAATTTCATCTTCACTACTATAAATGTTAAACAGTCTACAAATTAAAAAATATTAAATATAAAATATAACCTTTACTTATTTAGTTTTGGTGTTGCTATTTTTAATCTATCTATCTTTGTGATCTGTAAAATTTCCAACTAATTTTGGTTATCATTATATTTAAAATATAGCAGGAAAAAATAAAGAAAATAATACAAGATTTCACAAAGAAAATAAAGTTACCTTGTGTGATATGTAAATGTAAATGTTTTAAAATGAATATTAAAAAGAATCTGTATCTGTATATTTTAAAGAAAATGAAAAAGATACAAGATTCTTTTCAAAATAAAGGATCTTAGATACAGATACTAGTATCTTATTAAAAATGTCAATAAGATACTGAGTACAAGATACAAAAGGATCTTGTATCTTAGATACAAGTATTCGCGGTACTGCCCAACTCGTACACAATATGTTAACATGATTTTTTTAAATTTAACCAAATTTATTTACTTTAAGATAAATTTTTAATCTTTTATTTAAGTTATATCATCCAAAATATGCACATTTGATTGTAATTTATTTGAGCTTGAATTACTTTTCATTTTTTTTTATTAAATAGACGGCAAAAAGATGTAGAATCAAGACTGATGGATGATGAGACAAATAAAAAGGTTGAATCTGAAGTGCAAAAACGACTTAATATGGAAATAGAAAAAAAAGAAACTGACTTACAGCTTGAAATTAATAAAAGAATTGAATTTATTAAAAAACGATTGCAAGATGACATATACAAAGAATTTGAGTCAAAACAAAGAATTGAAAGAGAGGAATGGAGGAAAAAAGAGGTTAATTTTTTTTAAATACTAAATTTAAAACTATATAATGGTTATTTTAATTTCCAAATTATGTTATATTAGGAGGAAAATCACAAAAAGCGGGAGGAATTGGAAACTTCTATAAAAGAATATCAGAAAAAAATTGAGGAGTTACATAGGCAATTGGTAATTTAATTTTAAGCTCATTAATATCGTATTAGATATATGATCTATGTGTATTTTTTAAAAAATATATATTTTAGTAAACTATAATAGCAGTTTTGTGAAATTTTGTAGCCTTAACATCATAGATATGGGGAAATATCTATAATGGAAAGGATTATTTTGGTAATTCTAATCCAAATGATCCCATATGATTTGTCAGCTTGGAGCTATGACAGCTGGTTCAGTCTATGGCAAACATTGATGGTGATGATGTAGATCCAAGTAAATCATTTATATTTCTTATTTTATTTGTCTTGAAATATAATGACAAATATTATTTTGTATAAATCATTTTTCTAGTTTTATTAAATTTAGAGAACATTATTTTGTAATCTAAAAATTTTATTTTAAGATCAAACATTTCTTTGTTTATACATTTTTATAATTAATATAAAAATTCCATTATCCTTGAAGCCTTTATTGCTTTTTTTTGTCTCAGTTTAGAAATGTATAAAATTAGGACTCAAAAAACCCATGAAATATATATATTAATATTTAGTTGTTTTTATGAATTTTCAAAGATAATTGATTTTTGCCTTGAACACTAAATAATTTTGGGGCAACTTTTGCTTCATTTCAAAAATATTTTATAAATATATATAAATTTTTAACTATTTACTTTATTTAAATTTATTGTAATGTCTTTGCTTTTAAGTTTGGTAAATATGTGTATAAAGGGGATGTTGTTTTACTGGCATTTATAAATAATTTAATTTATACATTTTATTCATTTTATATCACTTATAAAGAAATCATAATAAATATTCATTTAACTTGGCCTATATGAGATTAGAGATAGGGCTTGATTATATAAATGAATATACGTTAGTTATCAGAATGTTCACTTGTTTACATTAATGTAAGCTGAAAAAATTTATTTTATTCTATTTGTAATATTATATCTTATTAACAAAATTATATATATTCTTTATACTCATTAATCTTAAACCTTTACTTGGAAAATATTATGTTCAAATAAATTAAATTTATAATATGACAAAATTGTGCTGTACTTTAAAATTAAAACTTTACTTTTAATACAAATAATATATAATATAACTACAATATCTTCTATTAATTCTAAAAGCTTTCATTTATTTTATATTTTATACAGCTATATGGATCACCTGACTGATGACTGCTTTATACATTGGGAAAAACCTCAGAACAAATTTCTACTTATATATCAAATATATTATTCACACTCTTTAGAATTTTAATATGATTTAAATAAGTAGTTTTGCATGTAAAAAACATCTTTAGCTAACTAATTTTAAAGATTAGAGGTATACACAGGGTTGCCAGCTCAAAATTTTTAAATTATGGGAGAAATTTGGAAGAGAATTTTTTTTGCCCTGCAAAGTGCTAGACTTCAGCTGAATTAATGAAAATATCATTTTGTCCTCCACATTTATTTTTATAATTTTTACTTTATCATCTTGTCAGCATCGTTATATAATATTTTATTCTTCGTTTTCAAGTTTTAATTTCTACTTCTTTGTGGTAGAGTAGAGTTATTTTAATTATTATATAAAAGTAAATACTTTGATCGATAAACAAGACAAAATTTTATTAAATAACATCTTTATTTATATAAAATTTATTTATTTATACAAAGACAAATGATCATTATTTTCCAATTTTTCAGAATTATTATTTATAAATTAAAAACATTAAAATGCTGAAAATTTTATTGTGTTAGAAATTTTTAAATTGTGGGAGATTTCCATTTTAAGTAGGGAGATCTCTATATATTGATTACAAATTTCTGGAGTTTCCCACATGTGGGGAGATGCAACCCTGGGTATACATCATAAGTTGAAATCAACAAAATTATTGTTTATATTACATATAAGGCTTATATATTTATTTTATTTGTTTATTCTTATAGGCTGAAGAAAGGCTTATGATAATTGAAGAGAAACGGGTTATACTAGAGGATAAACTTAAATTAGAAGAAGCACTAAAAAAGAAGGAGAAACAAGAACAAAAATTAATATTAAATAAGGGTAAATCTATAAGACCAAAGTTATCCTTTTCCATCAAACAAAATTCTAATCATACATAGCTTTCTTGTGTTAGTTTTAGCTCATATAATTTAATTCTTTATAAACAAGACATTTCAATTCAATCATCGCATAAACATCGACTATCGAAAAATACAAACTTGTAAAGAAGCTGTTAAACGAAAAAGTCAAACTCATCAATACTAATTAGAGCTACAGAACAATACTTTGACAACTAATAATCAAATGAATATAATTGTAACCAGTATTCTTCTATAAATTTTGTGAAAATGTTTATCTTTTTTTAAAAAAAACGGAAAATGTAAATAATATTATTTTTTAAAATATATATTTATTGTATTTTTACCCAAGGAATGATAATATAATTATTAATAAATAATCATGTTATTGCTAACCAGTATTTTATTTATTAAAAAACACTCACTAGTCTTATTTTCCACGTTTTTTCAGAAGACCCTTAATTCATTGACCACAAATTATACTCTTCCCCTAGACCTTATTCTCTCCATGTCAAACAAGTTAAACCATCTGATATTAACCCTACATTTTTTCTCACAATTTATATCCTTTCAATGAAGTATCACATCCATTTGAGCATAATCTTTTTTCCTTCTAATTTTGCATAATTAACAGCTTTCTTTGCTCTAGTATTGTTAATTTTAACGGTTTTTTAATAAAAACTAATCTTTACCTGACTCTAACAATGAATTATTTGAGTTAAGTTGGGCTCGATGTATACAACTAAACTCTTCAGATGCTTTGAGCTTCTGGTTTTTAAAATGTTCTTTAATATTGTTTCATTATTTGCCATTAATATACAAGGACATTGATCATTAGAAACTTCCATGCCAACCCCTCCCTTGAACCTTATAACAAAAAGTATTGGCCTTGATTCTAATAGTGATCAGGAAAAGTTCGGTTTTATATTTTTGGAAAGGACGACGGATCTTCTAAATTTCATGACAAATCTGGAACCCGATAAGTCTTTCCTAACGTAATAAATATTTTTTTTATGTATAAATATGATATTTTTAGCACTAACCTGCACACGATTTATGAAATTGGCTAAAACCTATATACCCCAAAAATAAAATTTTTCATTATTAAAATGAGTGCTTATTAACTTAAATTCATCAATATTAACAAGATTAGTTTATTTAATGCTGTCTAAATTATTAACTTTAATTCTTCAAGTAACTCAATTATAGAATTTAAAAACCAATGATATCTATTAACTTGTACTTTATATTTATATCATGTTTTCTTTGTATAGACATCAATATTGCAATGTTTTCTCATAGCTTAGCTTATAATTGGAAGTTTATTTATGGTCAAGGAGAAATAAATATTTTCTTATGGTTCTTAATGCCAACTTTCTACTTAATCTTGCCTCTAATTTTGATTTTCTTCTCTCCTGTAAAGTAAAAAAAATAATACTCAGTGAAATCATAAAAATAAATTAAAATGTAGTATTTCTACTCTATTCGGCTCTGCTTGGATCCGATTTTTAAAGAGTGAATGAGACCAAACCGAACAGGCGCGAATTTTGTTTAGGTTTTTAACTATAAAATTGAAAAATATTTATCTTCAAATAGAGAATAAGTTAATTACGATAAATATGTATATATTTCGAATAATTCAATTTCATTATGATTAGGTTGAAAATTTTCATAAGATATTGATTTTATCTCAGAATATATCCTTATTAGATATAATGACATCGAGTTGGGCATAAATTTCTTTTGTTTTACAGTTTGAACTTCTCCGATTTCCATATCTTTGCATTACTCCTATAGATATATATCTTTCACGGAAACCCACAATGAAGTATATACACAATCACCCTTTGGAAAGCGTATCCAGTGCAGTGAATTAGTATACGTTGTCTGGAAGTAATACCCTACTGTCAGGGTCCATTTAATTATAGAGGGTTGAAGGAACCTCTTTAAAGATTGAACATGGATAGAAGATAGAAGTAATTAAAGTTGTGATTAATTAGTTCCAATATAGACAAGGATAAAGAAATAAGTAACCATAATAAGTATTGTCTGTTTATTTTTTATAGAGATTTCTATAGGAGGGATTAGTTAGTTTGTTATTGTATTTTGTGGTTATTTTGTAATGAATATGAACTCTAAAAGCAGAAAAAAATATTAAAAGTAACCTATTGAGTTTGTATGAAATTATTAGTCATTATTTTGCACAGATAGCTACCTTTTTTTAAAGGTAGCTAATAGCATGTTACTTTTTTGAAATAATAGCGGTAGCGATAGCGCACTATATTTTTTTGTAAAATAGAGTTTGCGTAATGACATAAAAATTCCTAATTTTATTAATATTATTAGTGGTTGAATGTTTAATTTAATACTAAGATCAGGTTATAGACAGCATAAAATGACTATTTTTTAAAATAATTATTAAAGAAGTCATTATTGAGGGTCATATTAAATAAAAACTATATAAGTCGGCTAATTATCAATTTTCGTTATTGGGGGAGGGAGGGGGGGGGGGGGGTAGTGCAATCTTTCCAATGTAATCAGGTGACTCCGGTAAGTCTTATCCGGGAACATTTCCAAGAGTTCGGTAAAAGATACCCGAGCAGAGTTTAAAGCTTGCTTAAGTATAGATAGCATTTTTGCTAAGGGGGTGGATGGACTACTAAATGGTTACCCACAAATTTTATTGGAGGTCTTTTGGTCCACTTTAATGATCTTAAAGTTATAATTCCTCGATCAAACGTTTGGTCGGATGACGTAGGCGTTTAGAGAGTAGCAAGATTCGTTGTTCATAATATAAATTTACGTGATACGTGATTTCAGCGTTAAGCCATCAAACTTTGGCAAGCAACAGAGCTACGCTAAGTTTTCGTCATATCCATCAAACTGGATATTTAATTTAAGGGAAAGGGAAAAAATGAAGAGCCCTTCATACGTTTGTGGGTAAGCCATACGTACTTGCATGCACAACAGTCCAAAATCTGCTATTTAAACGTCCATAGGCTAAGAAAAAAAGAGTTGGGAAAATCAAAAGCCTATGCCCGATAACTTTAGCATAATCTAATTACTTTAAGGGTGAAAGGATGGTCAATTCTAAGTTTAAATTCCTTTTTGTAAATCTTAAATGATTACTATCCATATTGAGTATCCATTGATCGATTTATCCTAAATAAATAAAATTTAATATATATTATTTTCAATGTTCCAATAATATCACACTTACAAAATTATTAACACTTATCATTTGAACAAATTACATAATTGGAAACCATCGGCCATTTTCACCAATTCATTGATAAAATTTATTCAGTATAAATTCTGTGGTCGCTTAGTCAAGTCCAGGCTGGTTGTTGATCCACTTTATGATGGAATTTCGGCCATTGTAGATTAAGTTCAATCAGTTATGATCATTTATATAGGTTACCTCTATCATATCAGGATTATATGTCAGCGCCACCATTTTAGTTTCTCTTTATGAACCCTTAATTTATTCCCATTTCACGTCTTAACTGCTCGGCATGCTCTCTCATGATTCCTAATCCAGTCTCTACCTCGTAAGAACACATCTATTCCCCTTTACTGTGGACCAGGGTTGCCATGTCTCCCCCCATCAGCCATCAGCGGGAGACTCCCGCAATTTTTTAGTTTACACGCAGACATCTCTTTTCTGCAAAACTACCGTAATTGAAAATCTCTCGCAAAGATCTACCGCAATTTTTTAATTTCTCCCGCAATTTAAAAAAAAAGTATTTTAACGTTTTTAATATATAAATAATAATTTTGAGAGACAGTAATTGTTTATTTTTATATTTTTAAAATAAATTTTAAATATTTCGAAAAACATGTCTAATTTGAAAATTTCTTTTTATCCTGTTTTATTTTTATCCAATAATAAATCAACATCATTTCAATCATATAAATCAATACAGGGGAGTAGAGTATATCGTATATCGTATATCAACATCGATTGCAATACAAAAATATTCTCCAAAAATAATAAATAATATAGATTCAACTACAGCTGCGGAAATCGTATAAACCTATCATGTAGTTCAACATTCACAGAGCTATATCATCACAATGTTGGTAGAATCTTTTTCCTATGAAATTTAATGACTCCAATATAAGTGCAAACCTTACTTGGTTTTAGTACCTGAATCCTAGAGGTCAATTATAGACGATTTGAAAGATGGGCATCCATATGCAATTCTAACAATGCATCTAATAAGGGAAATATTAAAACATTTCCCAGGAACATTTCAATAAAACTGTTAAAAAAATTTTACTCGGATAGTGAAAAATCTAACGATGTAGCTAACCACATAATGTAAATATAGCTGATTCAGGGTTGTCAATGAATTGCATGATCTGCGCTGATAATGCCTCTGTAAATTTTGGCAAAAACCAAAGTGTGTTTACCTAATTGAGGCATTGAATTAATACCAATTGGCTGTATATGCCATATATAACATGATTCTTGCAAGAAGGCAATTAATGTACTATCTGTGGATGTCAAAATAATTGTGATGAAATGTTTTAACGATTTAGTTCATCAACTAAAAAAGTTGGTAGAGTGGTCTGACTTGGAATGGTGTGAGTTGTTGCGATATGCACTGTACCAATATGGGATTGATATTTATATTGCTGAGGCTAGTGGGAGAGACTGAATATCTATGAAATTTTACTCTTATTCAACTTCGATCAAATCCAAAATAATAATCAAAATATCGTCTGTAAATTATTAATAATCAAAATATCATCGGTCAAATAAGAAAGGTTAGAATAAAATGATACTAAATCAGACTAATATCCTCGTTAGAACTAAAATGATACTAAATCAGACTAATATCCTCGATTATATATATTTTTCTATAATATTCGTCAAATCAGAAAAGTTAGAACTAAAATGATACTAAATCTTTATTAAATAATAAGTTAAAAATATAATCAACTAAATTAAAAAAAATTAAAATAATCAAAAATTAAAATTAAACATTATAATTAAGTTCGTAAATTTGCATGTTACCACAATTACAACATGCACCTATCAGGTGGTTATCATTAATACCTGCCATCGATAGAATTTTAAAATTTTACAAACCCAAATTTTTTGGATTATGAAATGGCATAAGTATATTTGGGATTAGTTTCACATGTAAAAAATCTACTTCATGCCGTTAATATTCAGTTGAGAATATTCTTTATTAATAAAATCATGCTACAGCTCTGTTCATCTCTACAGTTAAAAATTGATAATAAATTTTATGGCGCTATTGCTAAAAATATTATATTAAAATGTTCAAATAATACTCTAAATAATACAT